AAAAAAAAAAAAAAAGATTGAGAGAGCTTCTAATTTTAGTGAATCCCTCGTTTGCCTTAAAAGACAAATCATTAGTATCTGAATGAAATGGACCTGAATAAAGCAGAATGGATTCAAAGGATTCATAAGCCAGTTCCACCTATGAAGCTATTAAGACAATTATGAAGTAGTTGATCGAATGATCTCTTTGACAAGTCGTTGCCATTGAGTCAACTAGTAAGCCTTACAATCACTAGCTAATGTATTTCTTCTCATCTATATATGCTTTGATGGATATAATGGTGAGAGGTAGCAACTACCCGGTATATTAATCGAGTTATGCGCAAGCTCGCCGAACTTAATCATTTTGTTAATGGACATAATCAATCAGCAACGAATTCAGGTATACAAGCCACATTATCTCACTACACTTAGATGTCTAACATCTTAACTGCCTGCCAGAAGCAAAAAAGCCCAACAAAATACAAGCCGCATTACCCCGTTTTATAAATCTCTCATAAAACTCTACTCATCATCGCTATCACTTTTCTTTCTTCTTTTCTAACTTTCATATACAAGTCTCAGCACCATCAGTCACAATCGAAATAAACCAGCTCAGCACCTTTTAATCTATAATTGATTAAGTGACCTTTACAGATTTCATTGTCCAATCAGTTAGAATGAACCAGTTCTTGAAAGTACAATCATCTATACAATGAGTAGTGAAACTGAAACCAAAACACAATCAACAAAAAGTAAATGCTTAAAGCAAAACAGAAGCTACTTACTTCTTATGGCGACGCCCTCGTTTAGCACCCCAACCTTCAAGTTTAGCAACAGGACACCCACATTTAGACCTAAACAACAACACTGCACGTCCATTGGGGGGTGCCATTTTCCTTAACTCCGCCCTTAAACACTCATAATCCGGGTTATTCTCACTCCCACCTTTCCAAGGCAACTCGTTAATCTCTCTCACAGCTTTACTACTACTACTACTATCAGCCCCACCAGATCTTAAAAAACACTCTTCACCCTGCAATTGCAAGTCAAATTCCATAGCCCTTCTCAACCCTTTACACCCAGGTTTCCCACATTTCCTCGATCTAAAAAACCCGAAAAACCCACAACAGATCTCGAATGAAATCACCATCACGAAGAAAACAACGAAGAAGAACGCGTAAAAGATGTACTGGGTTGTTAAAACGTCGACGTTTAGGGTAAGTGGGTAGGGGAAAAGAAGGGAAAGGGAATTGAAGATGTAAGAGAAGTAGGAGATTATGAGGAAAGTGCCAGAGAAGAGAACAAGAACGAAGATGAGAAGATCAAGGGTAGCGGAAGGGGAGTG